GGAGGCCCAGGTCCTCGACAGCCCAGGCCTGAGCAGGGCGGTGGCATTCCAGGGCAAGAGCCTTTATTAGAAAGAATCTGACTTTTAATAACGCCAAGTGGGACGCCCTGAGCTGAGCCAGCTGCTTGTGTCCCCCCGTGGGAGGCGTCTGTCTGGGGAAACAGGCAGGGGACTGAAATAATCATGCCACAGTGGCCCCTTCCAGCCCCAGAACTCCCTGCTGGGCAGCACTGGGCATGCAGGGTGGGGCCACCACAGGTGTGAGTCCAGCTGCTGGAGGCTCCGGCCCTAAGGCCATGGTCCCTGGGCCTGTGGGGACAAAGCATGGTGCTGTGGCTCCCTCTCCAGGGTGCCTGTCCACCTGCTGCTGACGGTGAGCTGGATGCTGGAGAGAAACCCTGGCCCAGCAGGGGAAGGGCCTGCTTCTTCCTGCTCTCAGGCTGCGCTTCCCTGAGGGTGCTGGCGAGGGCTTGGGGTGCAGGGAAGGCCTCCTCTCCACTGCACAGGGGACCACAGCTGGGGTGCAGTGAGGAGAAGCCTTACACTGTGGACACCCAGCTCTGTTACTAAGTGCTACAGCTCTCTCTGGACCAGGCTGAGGTCTCGTCCCTGTACCCATGACTGGCCCCTGAGGGGATTAACTCTGAGGCTACTCTCAGGTGTGAAAGCTGGCTGAGATGACAAGGGTGACGCTAGTCACTGTGGCTTGCTTCTGAGCGTTGACCAGGTGCCAGCCACGGGGCTAATGAGTACCTGCTACACAATCCCACCTGTCTTCACAGCCGCTGATGGAGACAGTCCTCACCACCAGGGCCCCGACGTGGAGCCTGGCGGAGGGCGCTTGGTCTGCTGTGCACAGTGGGAGAGACACTGTCTGACCCACGCCAAGGGAAGCAGGTGAGGCCTGCAGTGTGACAACTGTAGGTGCAGCACTCACAGCAAACCAGCCCCCGGAGCTGGGCCCCGCGCTCAGGAACCTCGGTCGACCTGAAGTGGCTGTCTGTGGGGCGCAGACTGCAGGACCAAGGGGGCTGGTCACCTAAGGCCTGAACAAGTCTCACTTCTGGGACAGCACAGAGAAACCCTCCTTGCACATGCGAACTGAGAGGTATTTGCAGTCCAGGGATCCCACACTGACCAATCTGGTGTCCCCAGAACTTAATTGTGGCACATTAAGAATGAACCGGCCTTGGCACTTGTCATCCATATTCTTTCACTTCCCGTAGACAAGCAGCTGTTTCAAAAGGCCATTTAACTCTTTAAGTCCTACTTTGGCAGAGCGAGAGGACTTCTGGGAAGGGCAGGGCAAAGGCCTCGGAGGAACTGGCCAGCAGCTCCTCGGCAGAGCTCTGGGGCCTGTGATCTCCCCTGGCCTCATTTCAACAGATGGCAGAACAAATTCCTAATTAAGCATGAGAAAGCTTCCGGCTCAGCACATTCACTCATGGCTTTCTGGTCCCTCTGGTACCCATTCTCCCCTTGGTCTCCTGGAAGCCAAGCCAGCTTATTGCCACCCCAAGCTCCCCACGGCTCTTGGAAAGGCCTGTCCCTAATCTAGGGAGAGGGGAGAGGCGGGGAGTGCGCAGCGGGGGTGGGGGTGAGCATGGGGGGGCGTCATGTCCGGGGATGGGCCACGCAGCTGCTTTTCAGAGGCAAAACAGAAAGGGAGCTGGGCAGACAGCTTGGCAGAGACTTGAGAAGACAAGTGGGGCTTCGGAGACCACTGCCTGCAGGGTCTTCTAGAAAGACTGCCAGGGTGAGCTTAGCCCAGAGGACAGACACCCTCTGTGGGGTCCAGCCCCTGTTCCTAGCAGACCTGTGAAGGTCCAGCAGGCAGACCGAGGGTCTTCCCTCTGACAGGGCTGCCCATGTGGTGCTCTTGGTGGCTGCAGGGGATTCCGTGGCCTCTGTTCCCTGGCTCCTCCCCTGCGTACTGTGGCTGGGGTCAGGAGGAGGCCATCACCTGCTCCCAGGCCAAGAGGAGAAATGCCCAGGTGCACTGCCAGCCCAGAGGGACAAAAGCCTGGCTCACCAGGGCTCAGTTGACTTCACTGGGCCCTGCCTCTTCCTGGACATGTTCTGTGTCAGTGACAGGTCTGCTTCTCAAGCCCAGGGGTCTGAGTCTCTCATGGAGAAAACTGGCTGCCTGTGCTGTTCCCCACGAGACTCCTGACACTTGATTATCTCTCAGATCAAAGGGAGAAAAGAGGCAATCGGCTGCAAAGACAACGTGTCAAGACAGCTGTGTCACCGCCACAAGACAAGTGCCCGTGACCTTCACAAGCTGGTCCCTGCTCAGACTCGGATGCTGGTCTCGGGGCTGCTGCCTGCCGCTGGCTCTGCAGCACGGCAGGGGCTGCCTCCGGGGCTTCAGGAGCCCCAGGGCTGGTGAGCGGGGCCTCTTCACAGAAGAGCCTTGGAGTGGGGGCCCAGGGTGACACTGCAGTCAGTGCCTGGTGCCTGGTGGGCACCATGAGAGGACAGGGCAGCCCGCCACTGGGGTAACAGCAGTCGGTTTTCTCAAGCCCCAGAGCTGATTCCACTCCTTAGCTAGATCCTGGGGGAGGGGAGAATGGGAAGGGAGCAGGGTGTTGACACAGTCTTCCAGGGCCCTGGGCCTGTGGGCAAGAGGAGATTGGTAGCTCCTCTGACACAATCTGGTATGAGTTGGGCCTCTTATTTATTTACTTGGGTACTGAGCGAATCCCTTGGCGCTTTACCACTGAGCCACACCCAAGTCATTTTTACTTTGAGACAGGGTCTCACTAAGTTGCAAGGCTGGCCTCGAACTTGCAATTCTCCGACCCCAGTCTCCCAGTGGCTGGGATTACAGGGGTGCGCCACCATGCCCACCACAAGCTCCTCTCTTTAGATGAAGTATTGCTACCCAGAAGCAGAGAGGAATTTGTTGCACTCGATAGGTGCAGGGGTGCTGCAGAAGCTGTTAGCTATCATCATCCGGGTGGCTGTCCCCTGTGGGCTGACAGGGGGATCCATCACACCAGGGGAAGCATGTGCATCCCCTGTACCTCTGCCCCTTGCTCGTGCCCAGGACAGGGAAAGAAACAAAACAAAGCTCAGCTTTTGGGCCAGCACCCAGGCTGAGGACAGTCAAGCACACTGGGCAGGAGTCACTTCAGGGCTGCAGAACTGGCTGCAGGGAGTGAAAGAGCTGGGACACAGAATAGGCCGGGGAGGCGAGGAGGGAGAGTCCTTCTCCAGATCCTGCTCACTGGGAGGCAGAGCAATAGGCGGAGGGTGGGTGGCCTGCGTTTCTGCTCCCTGCTGACCCTGACCTCTGATTACAAGTCCTGCAGGGGCTGTGTCCCCATGTGGTCTATCCAGGAGCTCACACGACCCTTGTGGTTCAAGTTCTTGTCTCCTGTCATGACTCAGGTGGTCATGTTAACCCTGGGGGCAAAACTGGAGACAGCAGCCCCAGGGTGAGGATGAACCAGATCTCACAGGGGAAGACCAGGAATCCCTCCCCCCATTCCTTGCTGGATGATGAAAGGTGCCAGAGACTGAAGGCTCACACCTGAACAGTGGGCTCCTGCAGGCTCAGAACTGATCCCCGCCTTGCTCTCACGTCCTCACAAGGACAGACCAAGAGTGGGAAGAAGGTGCAGGCTGGAGCAGAGTCAAGGAAGAACTTCCAGCACTGCCATGGGTCCCTCCTACCAGAGCGGGAGCCTTCTGCTGTCACACTCCTGGCCTGGGAGGCTGCCTGCTCCCAATGGGCTCCCTCCAGGGGCGGCAGGGCTGCCTGACCAGAAGAGGGCATGAGGGTTCCTGTGCGCTTGCTGCTCATACTGAGTTGGGGGGACGAGGGAAGCACAGAGGCCAGAATTTCTGGAAGTCGTTTGGGTATACCCCTCCTCAGAGCACCACTGCCCATCCACCTGGGTCCTGGCATGGGACAAGGACGTGCACCTGAGTCCTGATGCGGGGAAGGGCAGATGTGGAGGCAAAGGGACTGGGAAAGACAGTGGGGAAGGAGGACAGGCAGAGGGTCCCTCTGGAACCCCCATGCCAGGGGCAGGGCAGCCCTTGGGGACCAGGTAGACTCATGGGCCCGAGATCTCTCTAACAGAACAGCGATGGCCTTCTTTGCTTTTGTTTTTCATTTTTTAATGCCTTTATCCTTTTTTTTTTTCTTTCTTCTTCAAGACGGGGTTTTGCTGTCTAAGCTGGTCTCAAACCATCTTCCCTTAACCTCCTGAGTGCTGGGTTGTACGTAAGCCACCGTGCCTGGCTTATCTTTGCTTTTATATAAAGCAAAACAAGTGTCCAGCGGATGCCCAGGGCACAGGCTGGGGGTGGGCAGCCGGAGCTCCACAGCTGCTCTCAGCCCAGCTGCATTAGCAGCGGCACCTGCTGAGGGGGTGGCAGGCCTGGCGGAAGTGAACAAGCTCCCGACTGCCCGCTGGTGAGGGGAAGAGACCCTGTGCTCCAGCTCTTACTCAAAGGCGTCAGCTGGTTAGAACCCATGGTGGACGGGGTGTCATTTCACGCTCTGAGATCCAGGGCTCTGAGCCTCACAGTGCTGCTGCCTTGGCCCCTGGGTTTATGACTGCCTCATGCGGTACCCACAAGAAGGCAGGGTGGTGCCACTCTGACCCCTGCAGTGGGCACAGCCTGAGCCAGGCCTTCGGCAGCCCACTGCCCCAGCCTGTGGGTCAGCAGGGACCCAACATGATTCTGGGAAGGAGGCTAGCCATGTGTGCACAGTCCAGGTCCTAGCCCAGATCCAGCCACACAATGTGACCTCAAAAAAATCACTTTTCCTTTTTGGTACCAAATTTCCCCACCAGTGAAAGGTAGGCAGGGCACCAGCCTCCTCCTGGCCCTCAGGAAAGGTCAGAGGACCAGGCAGGCTGAGTTAATGGAGGCCACCTTCACGTTCCAGTCACGGCTGGGAGCTTTCCCAGCCTCTCTGGACAGGCGGAGGAAGGGACAAGGGGAGGAGGGCAGAGAATGGAGAGGTTCCTCAGACTCACCGATCCATCTCATGAGCGAGGTCAGGATCTGCAGGTACTTGGTCTTCTGGACGTCAAAGAAGGTGAAGGGTCCCAGGAGGAGAGTGAAGACGGCCTGGGTGGGGGAAGAGCGGTGAGGGACAGCGGAATTGGAGGACGGGATGGCTCCCACTCACCCCAGGGCACCAGGCACTGGTGGAGGCTCCCAGGGTTCAAATGGGTCACTGTGGGCAAGTGCCAAGTGCCAGCGGTGGGACAGGAGGCCCAGAGCCCTGCCTCCCTGCCACCGCTCACTCATAATGTTCAGACACTACTGCACTTTCTGAGCGAGGCCCAGGTGACATTATAGCACTGCCCTGGCCACAAGCGCAGATCCGCTAGGAGATGGCAGCAAGATCAGGATCAAAAGGAACACCAGATATGCCCTGTTACTGGGAAGAAAGGACACAGGGAGGAAGGGACGCAGGCTCCAGCGGACAGCACGGTAGAGAGGACAGCCCTTCTGAAGGGCTGCGAGAAGAGGATTAATCAGGACGCTGTCCATCAGCCACGTTTTCATGGCAAATGGAAGGGGAAGCTGGGGGACGGGAGCTGGCGGCCGCCCGGGCTTCTTGCTCAGGAGCACGTCCTGCATTCGAGAGGGAGTCTGGGGGAGGGGAGGGGCCTGGAGCACCAGTCCTCTTGGTCATCTTCTCTTTGGACATCAGGGTAAGTGTTTTTACTTAAAGTAAAATAAAATAAACCCTGTGTTAGAAAACTCGGTGGGAAATTTGGACCCTCTTTGCAAAAGCCACCGGGGTAGTGTGGCTGTGGCAAGGCAGACTGGGAGGGCCGGGGCACGTTAGGCTTTCCCTGCCAAAGTGGATGCTCGGGGAGCAGAAGAATTAGAAGCTGCTCCTTGGAGTTAAGATGATGGTGCCATTTCCAATCTGCCACTCGGAAGCCGGCGAGGCATCAGACCTGATTAACATTTACACTGTGCCATTTGATCACGTTAGTGCTGATGACACTCTGAAGCCAGCGAAGGTGGGAAGGGGGCCCTGTGGGGAGCCGGCTCGTGGTCTTGTGATTGGGGTGCATCCGTGGCAGCTGCCCAGCCTGGGGTTGGTCCCTGTGCCAGACAGGCAGGAGCCCCACAGAAGGGGGTGAGCCCACGCCGCCCCCACCGTGAGGAGAGCAGGATGTGGGAGAAGCTGTGACCTCTTATCCAAGTCCATTATCGCTGTGAGAACAACGGCTGAAGGACTCAAGTGCCGCTTAAAGGAAAAGGCTCTAATTAGTTGGGTGGGTGAAGGCACCCTGGCAGCCACCAGGGCTGGGAGAACTGGAGAAGGCTTTCTGCTGGGAGCCTCAGAACGGCGCTGCTTCCGTTCAGGAGAGGGGAAGGAGACGTGTTTCCACGAGGCTGCGGTGACGGGGAAGGCAGAGAAGGGACTCCCCTGGCAAAGGCAAGGGCTCTCAGGCCCAGGGACAAGAGCTGGGACACGGACACTAATGCCCACACAGCCGCCACCTCTGGCCTGCGAGTCTGTATGCAGCACCATCAGCCAGTCATTTAGGAAAATTACCACTTCAGGGGAACTTTCCACTGATGAACTTCTCTCTTGGAGGAGGAGAAGGGGATGTCAGGTGGAAGAAGAAATACAGAGCCACTTGCCACAAATGTTTCCAAGTAACTGTGATCTGTGGGAAACTGGAGTCCAGGTGTGCCCAGGGCTTGGTGGCTCACCTTTGACCCGGGATGAAAACACACTGAAAACTCAGTTCTCCAGATGCAGGGTCAGAATTCTAAGGGGGGTTGACAGGGGAGGTCAGATCTCAGAGCCTTAGGATTATTTTTCAGAAGGTTCTACCACATAAACACAGGGTAGAGGAAAACAGAACCATCCCCAAGGGTGCCCCCTGTCCTACCCTTGGGGACCCTCACTCTGAGGCCTTGTCCAACTTCATCCTCCTCCTCAGTGCACCTCAGGACACAGTAGCCCCATTTTATAAAATCTGGCGACGCAATCCTAGCCGCTGAGGGCGTCCCCATGTAGAAACCAGGCACACGCCCCTCCAAAAGGTAGAAGAGGACCTGTGTGTGTGAGGAGCAGATCAAGTGGTGGGGAGTAAGAACCTAGTGGAGCGTGAATGACAGTCGACCCCCATCTAGGTTCTCATGCCGGTCCTGGGGACGCAGATCTGTCTTCAGAAGGGGAATTCGCAGCCAAAGGGTCTTTTGGAAAATGTGACCAACAGCTGTGGAATCCATGGACAGGGGCTGGGATGTGGCTGCTTTTCCTTTTAAAGCTCAGTAGCACAGATTGGCGGCACCACTGGGGAAGCTCAGGGCCCACTGAGTGGCAGCCGACACGCGCAGACCGCCCAACAGCAGCCCTGCCAGGGGCCGCAAGCTCATGCATCAGAGGGAGCCAGATGAAGATGCAGACCTCGAGCTGGGGCTAATTAAGAAACAGGTGTCCTCTGCAAATTAGCTAGAGCCACAAGGCAGCAATTGCGGGAGCAGGCATCCAGAGTGACAAAGGACAGAGACGGGAATGGCGGTGGAGCCAAGGTCTTTGGGAAGAAAGAGGTTTGGGCAGAAGGACCAGCCCCAGGCCCCTGATGGTCTAGTGGGGCAGAGTCCATCTCTGGATGCTCAGATGTGGCACTTGATGTTTTCTTTTTCCTTTTAAAAAAAGATGAAATAAAAAGCCAAGAGACAGCCTATCCTCTTGGGTCTTCCAGTCTAGCCCAGATGACATTATAAATTAGCTGGCTCCCGAGCAAATTTCCAACCCCCAAATGCCATTGATCAGTCCAAACTCAGCCTCTGTTCAAGGACTCTTGTCGCCCGAATCATTCCAGGAGGCAGGGACGCCAGTCACTGCAGACAAATGTTTTTCTTAAGAAATAAATAAAAACCCAACTCTGATTTCTAATGAAATCCTCTAACTGATCTCTGGGAATGAAGTTCATGACAGACCCGGGAGGGTGCAAATGGGGCCACTCAAAAATCTCTCTTTCCGGGTCAGTGAGCTTAGCTGCACACCAAAGTCCCCATGGCAGCCTTGCCAGAGTCTTGATGGACACAAGGCAGCTCATGTTCCCAAGACGCTGCAGGCAGAACTTGGCCTCGACTCTTTTAGCATGTTCTGAAGTCTCCAACTCGACAGGGCGACCTGCCCTTCTATGTCCCCTGTGCAGCTGAAATGCACTGCCTACTCCTGTTGCTCAGGCCCCTATGTCCAGCCATCTCTAACGCCTTCCCTACTTTTTGCATTAGATTCCTGTGGCTGCTGTAACAAGTTATCACTACCATGGGTGGCTTCAAACCACACACATTTATTTTCTCCCAAGCTGGGCAGGGCAAGGCTCTCGATAGCACAGCATGGTGCCCCCTGCAGGACACAGCCTCGTCCTGCACATGCTGTAAGGACAGGGCTGGCCAGAGCCACCATGCTCTAGCCTCTGTCAGGTGAGACCCAGGGACAGAATAGGGAGCAGACACTCCTGCTCTGTATCCCAGGCCTCTGTCTCCTGGAGCCAGGAGGGCCACCTGCTCTCCAGATCCAGGGACTGAAAGATGTGGGAAGACTGGGCTGGGCCTGCAGAGTCCCTGGACAGTGTGTGATTTTGCTGAGACCAGGAGTACCACCTGCTCCAGAGGCTGGCAGCTGAGCTCTGAAGGCTCAGCCACCAACCGGAGCCCCACTGAAGTGTGTGGACCCAGCTGTCCTGCTCTGGCATGGGAGAGCTACACTCTCTGCTACTTATCAAAGGGGAACCTCAAGTCAAAAGCTCTTGACTTGGACCGTCTGAGGCTGAGCTGTGTTACCACCTGCCCAAGTCTTCTCTGGTCTGACCCCACAGCACTCAGCACTCACAGAAGAAAGGCCCTAACTCAACATAACCCACTTCACATACAAAACGAACCTAAGGTTGGCAGTGTACCATGTCCTTGGGTCAGCTGCCCCAAGTGGAAAAGGCATGAGTGTTCACATTACAAAACAAAAGCAGAGCAATTTGTCAGTGACACATGTCTGTAATCCCAGTGGCCTGGGAGGCTGAGGCAGGAGGATTGGGAATTCAAGGCCAGCCTCAGCAACTTACTGAAGCCCTGTCCCAAAATAAAATATAAAAAGGACTGGGGATGTGGCTCAGTGACTGAATGTTCATGGGCTCAATTCCGAGCACACACACACACAAAAAAAGAGTAAAGCAACTGGATACCCAGCCCCCTCCCCATCCCTAAATTTCTCTGCTTGTTTAGCTGGTCAGAAAGACAAAATGAAGAGTTAAATTTGGCTCTAACCCACAATTAAATCCCCTAGTTTAAGAGGTTGCAAAACCTCTGGGTCCTGCCATTTGACTAGTATCTGTCACAGCCACCCTCAACCCTGCTGTCCTCCTGGCTATCAACCCTCTCCCCAACCCAGGTGCTCTGTGATGATGTCACTGCCCAGTGCCGCAGGCCTCTTCCCATCTAAGAGGTGCTCACTTCTGCAGTTTTGTTCCATCCTTATGCCCACCTGCAAAGTCACTAGAGCAGGAGATGACACCCTCATGTCACTGAAGAGGAGGCAGAGGGACCAGAGAGCTCGGACCACGGTGCAAAGGGGCAGGGAGAGATGCACAGTACTGGACCCTGGGCCTTTTTTCCCCCCAATATTTTTTAGTTGTAGGTGGATACAGTATTTTTTTTTTTAATTTTATTTTATGTGGCGCTGAGGATGGAACCCAGCGCCTCTCATGGGCTGGGCGCGCACTCTACCACTGAGCCCCAGCCCAGCCCCCGGGGCCTCTCCACTGCAAGTGTGGCACACTGCATCCTCCTGGGCTCCACCGCCCCTCCTCCACCTCCCCTCCTCTCACCTCCTGTCCTCACATCAGGTTAATTCTCCCCTATGCCCTTACTATTTTGAATTCTCCTCCCAGCAAAGAAGTCCCCATTTTACCCTCTTTCGTCCCCATCTTCAAAGTCCTGTGTAAGTGCCAACCCACTCTGCGGCTACGCTGTTCCTCCCAGGGGACTCTAGACCAAATTCCCAAGCACACAGTCAGCACCATATGCCTGACTCTTGCAGGCACACACAACTGCTCCTTTTGCATGGGTTGACCTTGTACCCCCAG